AAGGGGGGGGGGGGGGGAGGCTGCTCCTGGAAGGAGGGTGGTTTCCCACCAAAGCCTCCACCTCTGGCTGGGGGGAGGATGGGTTTGAGATGCTCAGTGTCATCCCAGTGGCCACCGAAAATCTGACCTCGTCCAGGAGAGTGGGAACTTCAGCAGCCATGGGCAGTGAAGCTGGGGGTGTCAGTATTTGGGTAATAATGGAGATAAGACTCGTCTGCCTTCCCGGGGGGGCGTCCTCCCTGGCTCTGACTGTTTCTGTCACAGGTTCGATAAACCTCAGACCTTCTGAGGAGCCAGACCCTCCCCACGAGGACACGTGCCTTTGGGTGGTCTCCTGAGGCAGCGTGGGGACAAACCGAGCAGCGTGGGGACAAACTGAGCAGTGTGGGGACAAACTGAGCAGTGTGGTGACAAACTGAGAGCGTGGGGTGGCACAGAAAGGAAAGCATGTCCCCTTGGGAAGCTGGGCGAGTGGTGGCCCCCGTGGGCAAGGACCCCAGACCCTCTGTGGGCAGCTCAGCAAGTGCCACCGGGCTGCGTGGGTGACGCTGTGGAGGTGGCCGAGCTGATCACACCTCCAGGAGCTGCGGAGCCCCCCCGTTCCTCCCGTGGGGCTGCTCTGGGATGTGTGACAGCTCCCGGCGGCGCTGGCGGCGCTCCGAGCTCGGGGTCAGGGCAGGCGAGCGCTGACACAGCCCCGCGGCAGCGCCGGGACCCCCCGGGGCATCCCCCAGACCCAGCCCCAGGGGGTTCCCCAGCCCCATGCCCGGCGGCAGGAGGGAGGGAACCCCCCGAAGGGATGGCGGGGACCCCTGAAGGGATGGTGGGGACCCCCGAAGGGATGGCGGAGCGTCCCAGCCGCCCTGTTGTCAGAGCGTGTGCTCTGGAGCCAGGAGCTAATTGCCCTGGGCCCAGGCCAAGCCTCAGCAGAAGCAGGTGCTCTGCGTCCCCCCCCTCCTCTTCCTCCCCTCCTTCCACCGCTGCCACCGCTGCCGCCTGTCCCCCAGGCTCCCCCAGTTCCCGGGGCAATGAGCCCTGGGTCCCCTGAGGCCACCTGCCCCCAGTCCTGGCCACCGAGCACCAAATCAGGCTCCCTCACACCGAGGGGGCTG